CCGACCTTCTCGATCTCAGGACCCAACGAGCAAACGACACGTGGCTTTCTGACGAGTAATGACGGGCTGTGGGGGGATGAAAATGCTTGAAGCTTGTTTTGATGACCGTCTAAACTGCCGGCAGCCGTCAAGATCGAATGCTGGCTGGTCAGACCCAGCTGCGACGTGCAGACTGCCATAGTGACACCGAGGGATTCAGACGCCTGTGGATTCTAATGACGATTCAAAAAGAGCGTATTTCTCAGTACGAAGCGCTGTCGCTTTTGAATGGATCGCAGGCGAGACTGGATCCTGAAAGGCAGTCGCAGTATCGCATCAGCTGCAAAACGGATAAGGCTGACACAGCAGCACGAGCAGCCAATGCAGCAGCAGCGCTGAAGCAGCGAGTAGCAGGAGGAACAAAAAGAAGCCTCGGTATTCGCTTAGATCTGACTCAACATTTTCTAAATAGCACTATAGAAAGTGTACCGCTACAAGAAAAATATGGTCTCACAAAAAATCACACAAACTTCAGTTTCAGCCAAACTTGGAAATCACCTTGCGAAATCAGGTGATGGCAATCTTCGGTCATCCATCCATCGGGGGCTTGGCGAAGCCTGTATCTTTCCATCAATTCGCATAAGGACTCTGGCCTGCGCGAATTGAATGGTAACCTAATCCCGATCTACAGCCACAGACACCTCCGACTGATTTTATAGCTCTGTGTATCTTGCGCTAATCCCACTTACTTCCCACTAGCCTCTCTGTAGCATCGCCTCTCCCCAGGCTCAGCTCGGCGCCATAACGCGCTGCGAGGCAGGAAACCCGCAACGCGGAGCAACCGAAGCGCAGTCATTGAGTCTGTCGCGATAGTTACCCCTGCTGCCGTTTTTTCGCCCAGCCGTTTCGGACAAAGAGGTCCCGTCTTGATCCAACTCTGTTGATCACCCGTATCGCTGACTGATCTACCTTTTCGCCGCTTCTTCCTATATACTGTGTGGACCTCGAAAGTCTGAAAATACGATTTCTACTCGCCCTCACAGTGTACTTGTTGATTCGAGGTACTAATGGCTCTGTTCCGCGCGCGGCTCGGCGGGTTCTTGGCGGGATTCGCGGTGGCGTCGGCGGGAGCGATGTACCTTCTACAACGAGATCTCTTAGCGAGTCATAAAGTGCTCACGGAGCAGGTGAGGCTTGTACCGGTTCAGCCTATATCGGAACATTGACGGAAAGACTGATGCGCCAACGGAACATGGAGCATCGCAGCATGCTACGCCGCGAAGTCACTGTCCATCGCGGACGTCACAGTTGCTTCAGTGACGTCACTGTTGCTTCCGTGACGTCACTGTTGCTTCAGTGACGTCACTGCTCATTTGCTGGCGTCGATGTTCCTTCGCTGACGTCACTGTACCTCCAGTGACGTCACGGCGCAGAACGAACGACGTCCTGTCTGCAGAATCGCTGCGCACCAACAGGATTCCCTACCGCTGCGTGTCCCTTCTGAGAGCTCGAAAGAACGATACAAGCTGCTGCAGATCCAGACATAGCTCACTGATGAGAATCCAACGTGTGGATCTCGCGTGGAACGATACAAGCTGCTGCATTCAAAAATCGTCTAGCCTGACCAGAGAATCCAACGGCTTGCCATCGTCACCTGCGTCTCCCCTCCCCTCCCCTCACGTCACGTGCCCACTGATGCCACACAACGGCAGGCGGAGGGATACAGCAAGCTGCCGCACTAGAGGCTCCTCTAGCCTGACCAGAGAACCCAACGGCTTGCCATTGTCACCTGCGTCTCCCCTCCCCTCCCCTCCCCTCACCTCACCTCACCTCACCTCACCTCACCTCACCTCACCCATCACTTTTCCCCTGATGCCACACAATGGCAGGCAGAGGGGTACAACGCTGCAGCGGAGGCTCGTCTGGCCCGGCTGGAGAATCTGACATATTGTCATTGTCGTCCGTCACTCTCCTCCCCCCTCTCACGTGCCCCCTAAAGCCACACAATGGCAGGCGGAGGGGTGCAACGCTGCAGTGGCTTTTGAGTCGACTCAAAAGTCACCTCAGAGGGGTGCAACGCTGCAGTGGCTTTTGAGTCGACTCAAAAGTCACCTCAGAGGGGTGCAACGCTGCAGTGGCTTTTGAGTCGACTCAAAAGTCACCTCAGAGGGGTGCAACGCTGCAGTGGCTTTTGAGTCGACTCAAAAGTCACCTCAGAGGGGTGCAACGCCGCAGTGGAGGCTCGTCTGGCTCCACCAAAAGAATTCAACGGCTTGTCGTTGTCGTTTGTCTCTCTCCCCTCCCCCTCCACCCCCCGTGTGTGACGTGCCCGCTGTTGCCACTCATGCATCCCAGGCGGAGGGGTACAACAATGCTGCAGTGGAGGCTCGTTTGGCCCAACTGGAAAATCTGACGGCTTGCCATTCTCATCTGTCTCTCTCCCCTCCCCTCAGGTGTGACGCGCCCACTGATGGCACACCAATGGCAGGCGGAGAGGTATAACCCGCAGTGGAGGCTCGCTTGACCCTGCTGGAGATTCCAACGGTTTGTCATTGTCATTCGCCCCTCTCCCTTACCCCCCCTTTTCCCGCTTTCCGCCACACACGATGGCAGGCGGAGGGGTACAATGCTGCAGTGGAGGCTCGCTTGGCCCGACTGGAGAATCTTACGGCTTCCCTGGCGGATGCCCATTCACACACACACCAGGCTGCTGCCGAGGTACTGTGTTGTACATGGGTGGGTGTGACTGTATCGATAGGTGTGTCTATAGAGATTGGTGTGACTGGAGAATCTGACGGCTTCCCTGGCGGATGCTCACTCGCTCGCACACACACCAGGCTGCTGCCGAGGTACTGTATTCTAGACGGGTGTGTGACTGTAGACGGGTGTCACTGTATAGACGACTATTCCTGTATGGATGGGTGTGAATGTATAGACGGATTTTCCTGTATGGATGGGTGTGAATGTATAGATGGCTTTTCCTGTATGGATGGGTGTGAATGTATGGACGGGTATTCCTGTATGGATGGGTGTGAATGTATAGACAGGTATTACTATATAGATGGGTGTGACTGTATAGACAGGTATCACTGTATAGATGGGTGTGACTGTATAGACAGATGTGGCCATCGTTGGGTGTGATTGCACGCTGATGTGACTCTGCTTACACATGTGACAACGCAACAAACTTCATGGGGTTCAGTCTCCTATCACAGGTAACCATGGGTAATTGTGACTGAACCAGGGCATTTACATGCGTGAGTGTCCTATGCTGATTGGCCACATGAGTGAGTGTCCTATGCTGATTGGCCACATGCGCTCACATCCCCATTTGTTCCCTCTCCCGTTCACCTGCATGGGCTAGCAGTAACCATGGAGATGTCTAGTGAATTTTGAGGCGCCTAAAATATTACTTGCATGGGCTCGTTACGCAGTAACCATGAAGATTTCTTTTGAAGGGGGAAGAAATTCATTTTAACGCATGCAAGCATGGATATGCCTATGTATTAATTTTCTCAGAGATTGAAAGGATGTTGCATGTCAAAATGCATGTCATGTGTAAACGCCATGGCACGGCATGTATGTGAAACAGCCTATCTCTTAGCCGCACTAATATTTTGTGCTATTGTTTCAACTTTACATCTATGCTGCTGCCTTACCAATTGATTCAACCACACTCCTTCCTTTTCATCTTTTTCTACTCCCTGCAGGCTCAACAGTGAAGCTGGTTCATAGTGTTGTTTGCATACTCAGAATGTCTACTGTACTGTACACCATAAGGGCACATCAATTGCATCTACAGTCAGTCATGTATTCGTGCTGGAAGTTATCAATAACATGTTAAATGCTTCAAGTGCCATAGCGTCTAAGCCTTCCAGTTGTAAAATTGTAAGGCAAGTCATACGTATTATATGAGGTTGTACAGTAAAATACAATACGGTACCACCACCATTGACATCCATGTCCTTCCTGCTGCCATCCCAACAGCCTGTACACGCAACACAGCATTCAAAACGGAGGTACAACACAACATGGGGGATGGGATACAGACAATGTTTAGGTTATTGTGTTGCACATACAGCACTGCAGAAAGAAGAGTGAGAAGGAGAGTTGCGTGGGCAGCAGTGAAGGTTGCAGTCTGAACAGGAGAGGAGAGGGTGAACAACTCTAGAGACGCAGCAATGCACACACGCTATGTAAACGTCCCAGCACCATTGTAAACAACCCACACATGCAATCAGCTCTTGCATTTCTACAACTCGAGTGAGCATCGGCAACCTGCAAGCCAAACTCTTAGGGGGAGAGAGTGCGCCTAACACACACCCCGCTTTGAGGTTCTAACATGTGGCCCGTGCTGAAATAAGACTCGCCCTGACTATCACTGCAGGCCAAACTTGAAATGATCGATGGCCTCGATGATCCCTCCCGCCCACCGCTTGGCTGCTCGAAACACATGGTTTGTGCTGTAGTGCTGTGCTGTAGTGCTGTGCTGTAGAGCTGTGCTGTAGTGCTGTGCTGTAGTGCTGTGCTGTAGTGCTGTGCTGTAGTGCTGTGCTGTAGTGCTGTGCTGTAGTGCTGTGCTGTGGTGCTGTGCTGTAGTGCTGTGCTGTAGTGCTGTGCTGTAGTGCTGTGCTGTAGTGCTGTGCTGTAGTGCTGTGCTGTAGTGCTGTGCTGTAGTGCTGTGCTGTAGTGCTGTGCTGTAGTGCTGTGCTGTAGTGCTGTGCTGTAGTGCTGTGCTGTAGTGCTGTGCTGTAGTGCTGTGCTGTAGTGCTGTGCTGTAGCTGTAGTGCTGTGCGGTGGTGCAGGCTCACTACACACAGGATGAGAGACTCATCGGTGCTACTGGGGACCCAACTTGAAGTGATTGATGGCTTCGATGATGCCTCCCGCACACTTCTTGGGAGCTCGGAACACATGGTCTGTGTTGTGGTGCGCCCTGTGCCACTTACCTTCTTTGTTTTGCAAACAACAGGAGGAAGGATGAATGGGAGTCTGGGAGAGGTGGAAGGGACTCACTGGTTCTACTGCGGGTCGAACTTGAAGTGATTGATCGCTTCGATGATGCCTCCCGCACACCGCTTGGTGGCCCGGAACACATGGTCTGTGCTGTGGTGCGCCCTGTGCCACTCCACCAGCTCCTCCATCGCATTGGATACCTGCAGTGGGCGAAGGGGAAGGAGATGGCCTACTTTGGGTTGTGCTGTGTGGATACCTGATACCTGCCAGGAGAAGAGGGGAAGGAGGAAAAAATACCACAGATACCAGAGTCTCCCCTCAATACACCCCTTCGTACAGCCACTCTGCTGGCTGTACTAAGGGGAGGACTGCCCTGGGAGGATTGCCATGGGAGGACTGCCATGAGATGACTGCTATGAGAGGACTGCTACTCTGCTGCCTAAACCACAGTCACCAGAGTCTCCCCTCAATTCACCCCTTCGTACAGCCACTCTGCTGGCTGTACTAAGGGGAGGACTGCCCTGGGAGGACTGCCATGGGAGGACTGCCATGAGATGACTGCCATGAGAGGACTGCTACTCTGCTGCCTAAACCACAGTCACCAGAGTCTCCCCTCAATACACCCCTTCGTACAGCCACCACCCTCCCCCCTCCACTTGCAATCACGCCATAAGCCCCCTCCAATTCAAACAGCTCTGCATCGCTGCCCGAGTCCCCACACGCCAGCGAGAGCGTTTAGGCGGGCTGCCACTGTGCGCCAAGCATGCCACACCAGAGCCACCCCTCAACACAGAAGCATAAGCCCCCCCCTTCCACTTACAATCACGCCGTAGGCTCCCTCCACTTCGAACAGCTCTGCATCGTTGCCCGAGTCCCCACACGCCAGCGTGTGCTTAGGAGCGCTGCCGCTGTGCTGCGTGAACTGCCGCAGCAGGTATGCCATGGCTTGCCCCTTGCCCGCCCTCTCAGGTAGAATGTCCAAATCGTAACCCCCGCTGTATATCACCTTCGCCTTCAGCTGGGTAGGGGGCAGGTGGGGGGTGGGGAGAGGTGGGGGGAAGGGGGAAGAAGAGAGGAGAGAGTAGCACACGTCAGCGAAGGCCAGCGTATGCCTGGGGATGGGGTGGGGACGGGCAAAGGCAGGGTGACAGGGAGACAGGGTGCATCTGGGAGGGACGGAGAGCTGCCGCTGTGCTGCGTGAACTGCCGCAGCAGGTATGCCATAGCCTGCCCCTTGCCCGCCCTCTCCGGCAGGATGTCCAGATCGTAACCCCCGCTGTATATCACCTTCGCCTTCAGCTGCATGGTTGGAACGCAGGGAGAGAGGATGGGGAGGGACGGGAAAGAGAGGGAGTTGTGAGCGGCAGGCAGAATGTCCAGATCGCACCCCCCGCTGTATATCACCTTCGCCTTCAGCTGCGTGGATGGTGGGGTTTGAGGGGGTGGGAAAGGAAGGGGAGGGGAAGTGTGTGAGAATGTCCAGATCATACCCCCCGCTGTATATCACCTTCGCCTTGAACTGCGTGGGGGTGAAGGCAGGGTGAAAGAGGAGGGAGGGTTAGTGTGTGGGGGGAATTGAGAAGGACTGAGGAGCGGCAAGAAGAATGTCTAAACTGTAACCCCCACGTATGTCACCTTCGCCTTGGGGGAAGTGTAAGTGGGGGGTGCGGGGTTGGGGGAAGGGGAAGTGGGGGGTGCGGGGTTGGGGGTGGAAAGAAGTGAGGAGCAGCAAGGAGAAGTCCAGGTCGTACCACTGTACACTTGCAAATCCATAGACATTGCCACCTTGTGCACCTACTACAATCTCGTTCTCCTACAGTCACGTACCCCTCGCTCCACAAGCTTGCTCCTCAGCTCCTCCGCCACGTTGCCTGCCTGGTCCTTCTCCAGGTGAAAGCTCACCTTGATTTGATGGACTACACTGAAAATACCTGTTCTTCTCAATACAGTCACATTCTTCTACAGTCACATACCACTCGCTGTGCCAGCTTGCTCCTCAGCTCCTCCACCACGTTGCCTGCCTGGTCCTTCTCCAGGTGAAAACTGACCTTGTGCGGCTTCAAGCCACACACACACACAAACGCCTACGATGATCCAATAGTCCCACACTTGTACAGTCACATTCCTCTACAGTCATAACCACGTACCCCTCGCTGCTGCAGCTTCCCCCTCAGCTCCTCCACCACGTTGCCTGCCTGGTCCTTCTCCAGGTGAAAGCTGACCTTGTGCGGCCGCTGCTCTGAGTCCGCCTGTGACAGTTGAGAGAGCAGTGGGGAAACGGGAGAAGAGAAACGGAGGTACAGAAACCCGACTTTAAGTAGTCAGGAGAGCGATCAGGAGAGTGGTCAGGAGAGCGATCAGGAGAGCGATCAGGAGAGCGATCAGGAGAGCGATCAGGAGAGCGATCAGGAGAGTGGTCAGGAGAGTGGTCAGGAGAGTGGTCAGGAGAGCGGTCAGGAGAGTGGTCAGGAGAGTGGTCAGGAGAGTGGTCAGGAGAGTGGTCAGCTTTGAGCTTTGAGAAACGTGAGTGGATCACCTCAAAGCTGGCTGCAATTAGGAGGTCTAAAGAGCCAGTTTGAATAAACAACACTCACCTGAAAAATCACCTGACAAAAGCCAAGTGAGGTTTCATTGGCTTGCTCCACCACGGCCTGTCTGTCCCACCCATCGTCCAGATACTCCTCCCACCCCGTGTCCCGCTGCAATGAACCTCCCCAGTCATCACCAACCGTCCTGACACGTCCAGAAAGAAACCTACCTAAAATCCTCCCCAAACCCCAACAACCCACCTGGAATCGCAGCTGGGGGAAGCCCTTCGCCACGTCCACCACGGCCTGTCTCTCCCACCCACCCATCGTTCTGTTGCTCCTCCCACCTGCTCCTGCGACACCTACGGAGAGAGCGAGACACACCTGAAATCGCAACTGGGGGAGGCCCTTCGCCACGTCCACCACGGTCTGTCTCTCCCACCCATCGTTCTGTTGCTCCTCCCACCTGCTCCTGTGACGCCTACGGAGGAGAGATCGAGACCCCTGGAATCGCAACTGGGGGAAGCCCTTAGCCACGCCCTCCACAGCGTTCCTGTCCCACCCATCGCACAGATGCTCCTCCCACTCACTCCCTGCCCGGCTGCAGTTAACCCTCTCAATCACCAACCCTCACTAACCTGAAACCTTAGCAATGGGAAGCCCTTCGCCACGTCCTCCACAGCGTTCCTGTCCCACCCATCGCACAGATGCTCCTCCCACTCCTTGGTCCGGCTGCAGTGATCCGCCCCAGTCATCAAGCCTCTTGAGACGACTAACAAAGAGACTCACCTGGAACCGTAACAGAGGAAAGCCCTTAGCGACGTCCACCACAGCAGCCCCGTCCCACCCGTCGTTCAGGTACTCCTCCCACCCTTGGTCCGGCTGATGTGAACCCTCCCACCCAGTCAATTATCATCACCCACCTGGAACCGTAACAGAGGAAAGCCCTTAGCGACGTCCACCACAGCAGCCCTGTCCCACCCATCGTTCAGGTACTCCTCCCACCCTTGGTCCGGCTGCATGGACGCGCCATAGGTGATCTCCGTGCCCACTGACATGATCACAATGTCTGGCGAGGGGACGGGGCAGCGGGGTAACGAGCGGGTTGAATGAAAAGGGAGAGAAGGCCAAGGTGCTCCTCTGTCTGGCTGCATGGACGCTCCATAGGTGATCTCCGTGCCCACTGACATGATCACAATGTCTGGCGTAGGAATAGGAGAATGGTGGAAAGAGTGGGTTGAAAAGAAACGGGAGGGAGGGCCGAGGCAGTCCTCCCACCCCCTGTCCGGCTCCATGGACGCACCGTAGGTGATCTCCGTGCCCACTGACATGATCACAATGTCTGGCGGCGAAGGGGAGAGCAATGGTGGGGAGAGTGGGTAAGAAAGGGGAGTGAGGGCCGAAATACTCCTCCCGCCCCCTCTCTGGCTGCATGGACGCGCCGTATGTGATCTCCGTGCCCACTGACATGATCACGATGCCTGGCAGCGAGGGGATGGGATGTGGGGAATGAGGAGAAGAGGACAAATCAAGAGATTGGGGGAATAAACATGAAGAGATGTGGACGCGCCATAGGGGATCTCCGTATCCACTGACTTGATGACGATGTCTGGCGAGGAGGGACGGGAAAAGATGGAAGTGGACCGTGATGATGATGGGGGGATCGTGATGATGATGGGGGGATCGTGATGATGATGGGGGGATCGTGATGATGGGGGGATCGTGATGATGATGGGGGGATCGTGATGATGATGGGGGGATCGTGATGATGATGGGGGGATCGTGATGATGATGGGGGGATCGTGATGATGATGGGGGGATCGTGGCAGGAAAGATGGGAGATTGGAAGAGGGTTGGAAGTGGGTTGAATGAAAGTGGTGTAAATTTCAAGCAAGCAACTCACCAGGCGTGAGCAGAGACACTTGGCTCTTGAGTCGGTTGTAAAGGGTGGGGGAACGGCCAGCGCAGTAGACGAGACTTCTGCGGCGCTGCACGTATAACCTACTAGAGACAATCAACTCACCAGGCGTGAGCAGCGGCACTTGGCTCTTGAGTTGGTTGTGGAGGGTGGGCGAGCGGCCAGTGGAGTAGACGAGCAGCAAATCGCGCGCGAACGTGGACTGCCACAGCGATGCATACGCCCCTGCACTCGCTTGTAGGCTGTACCCCTAGCGCAGCGACTCGTGATTGGGATCCCTTGTGGTCCCGTGCGAGTATGGACCGCCACAGCGACGCATACGCCCCTGTATACCCCGCGAACAAGCGACTCACTTGTATTCCCTAAAGCAACGTACCAGGCGTGAGCAGCGGCATACGCCCCTGTATACCCCGCGAACAAGCGACTCACTTGTATTCCCTAAAGCAACGTACCAGGCGTGAGCAGCGGCATACGCCCCTGTATACCCCGCGAACAAGCGACTCACTTGTATTCCCTAAAGCAACGTACCAGGCGTGAGCAGCGGCACTTGGCTCTTGAGTTGGTTGTAGAGGGTGGGCGAGCGGCCAGTGGAATACACGAGCAGCGAGTCGCGCGCGAACGTGGACTGCCACAGAGACGCGAACTCGCGCAGCGACTCGTGGTTGGGATCCTTGTGGTCCACCTGATCAGGTTAAAGGAACAGAAAGAATCAGATGGGATTAAAGACCCCGTGACAGAACGGGCCGCGTGTGGAAAATTAGATTCAAATGAAGACTAGGTCGAGCGAGAGGAATTCGATGTGAGAAACAAAGAAACTTATGAGTTCGAGGCCTGAAGACCAGGAACAGACGATCAGACATGGAATCTGGTAAGTGGAATAATCACCATGGTGTTGTCGAGGTCAGATACGATCATGAGGTTGATGCTTCGCTTGAAGACGTCGCTACCGTCCGACGCATCCGAAGCAGCCATGAAAACTGCCGATCGCCAATTACTAACGTTCGCCGGTGATCGCGAGCGAATCCGGAAGTTACCCACTGACGGGAGAAATCGCGTTGCTGTTTGTGTGATTGTGTCGCTTGACGAGGCCGATCTTAGCGCGTACGGTCGAGACTGAGGATGAAAATCTGATAGTGATTTGTGGAGCGAGCCTGATAAGGATCCGCGAACCGCGAGAGTGGCTGATGGGATCTGAGCAACGGTCAGAAAGTTCAGCGTTGACATTCGGATCGGCTAGTAGCCTTGGCCAAGCTGAAATACGAATCCCTCTCGGGGATCTTAGAAGCGCGTGTAATGTGATGAGGAGCAGGACGCAACAAAGCGCCTCGACTATGCTGAAAAAAAAAACGAATGTTACTCTCACCCGTGCACGGTAAGGCTCTGAATGACCGAGAGGCGGACAGATTCGAGCAGGCCGTTTTGGCTGCTCGACGACGGAACGAGAGGCGGACAGAACGACGGAATCGAGCAGGGTGTTTTGGCTCTGTTCTGCTGCAGCCGTGCTGTTGACAGCACCGAATGGCTGCCTGGCAAACTGACCGACAGTTTTGGAGATGAGAGATTCCCAAGAACGACGAAAATCCTGCAGAGAACTGCCTGCATTGACTGAATCCCGCGATTACCTCGGTATTGTCTGGTGCATTGCGCTCAAAATCGGTGAAGTGTAAACATGGGTGCTAACCGTGAAGAAGCTTACTGAACCGCACTTTGATCAGTCCATCCCAGCAAATGCGGTTTCATGGAGGCTGTCCTGGACAGCTGAAAATAGTACACGTGTTGTCCACTCCTAGACTTTCCCGCCTTAATGTCAGCGGATTAGCACCTGTTACGTGTGCAATTGAGTGAACGAACGAGAATTGCACTATCGAAGCAAAAGTACAATGAGCGAAGGCATGAGCGAAGGATTATATAGCGAAACCATAGTGGTAACGGTAATGGACTGTGGTTGTCGCGCGTCGAGCCTGGGACTGAGGTTGGGAAAGTGTCGAAGCGTAGGCCCGGAGCGCGGGTTACCAGCCGAGCCGTGAGGTCGGGATGCGATGTGCGAAAAAGGCGGGATGATGAATGATGCGATGGTCGCGAGTGGTAACGGTGCTGACTGAGGTGCTACAGTGACGTACGCGCTGGGCAGGGACGCGAAGTAAGGAAAAGGGAATTTCCTTACACTACCCCCCTCCCCAAGGAGGCCCCTCTTACGAGAGCGCATGGACGTCGCGGAAATTTCGGCTTCGCAGATACTCGGTGAAGACAGGGTGGTTCTCAATTTTATCCAGGGGGACCCAGTTGTCTTCTGTGGGCGTTCGGTCCTTCCAGCGAATGAGGAACTCGATCCTTCGGGCTCCCCGAGGGTCGCGGACGCGGTGGCTGAGGATTTTTTCAGGGGTGATGAGTGGTTCGGTTGGGGGACGTGTCATGCTGGCTGGGCGATTCCGTGGCAGTTGGCTCGTGGATGGGATGTAAGGGCGAAGTAGGCTGACGTGGAATGACGGGCTGACGTACCAGTCAGCGGGGAGGAGGAGGTGGGCGGTGACGGGTGTGATCATGTGGCTGATGCGAAATGGACCACAATATCGGGGGCGAAGTTTTGGAGTGATGGGCAGGCGAAGGTTCTGAGTGTCGAGTAGAACGAGGTCGTCGGGCTGATAAGTAACGGGTCTGCGATGTCGATCGGCGTTGCGTTTAGCGATGATGTCTGATTTTTTTATTGCTTCTGCTGCCCTGGTCCGTGCTGCCTGCAGAATCTCGGCGAACTGTTGTGCTCGTGGGACGGGGTTGTCGGGATTCGGTGTCATGGGTACTGTTGGGTCCTGTCCGTAATTTAGATAAAACGGCGACTGTTGCGTCGTGGCTGATGGTGCGTTATTGTATGCGAACTCAATGAGTGGCAGTTGCTGTTCCCACGTATTCGGGTCGTCGCACGTGGCTCGAATCAGCTGCTCCATGGTCTGATTTGTCCGTTCCGTCTGTCCGTCGGTTTCGGGGTGATAGGATGAACTGAACTGTAAGCGCGTGCCGAACTGCTGCCACAGGTTCCGCCAGAAGTTGCTGGTGAATTTCGTGTCCCTGTCGCTGATGATCGACGCGGGTATCCCGTGCAGGCGTACGACGGTGGAGATGAATAGTCGGGCGGTTTCCTCGGCTGTGATGGATTTCCTGCATGCTGCGAAATGAGCCATTTTCGTTAGTCGATCGACGACGACCAGGATCGCGTCATTCCCACTCGCCCCAGCTGGTAACCCCGTGACGAAGTCCATCGTCACCTGCTGCCAAGCACGCTCTGGAGGCGGGATGGGTTGTAATTGCCCCGCTGGTCGCTTCCTGCTTGTCTTCATGAGCTGGCAAGTGGGACACGATGCCACGTGTCGTTGCACGTCAGTCAACATTTCTGGCCAGTAGTAGTACCGCTGCAGCTGCTGCCGTGTTTTTTCTACCCCGAAATGTCCCGAGGTAATTCCGTCGTGTGCTTCCTGTAACAGTAGTTCCCGAAGTAACGTGTATCCCGGTACCCAGATGCGGTCGGTTCCAGTTTTTACGTAATAGACTCCTTTTGCCGCTGCGAATTGCTGTGAGTTGCCTCCTGTAAAGAATGGGTCTGTTTGATATCCGTGGGTAAATAGGCCGGTAAGCAGTGGGCTGGTCTGGGCGAGTAGTATCGCGTGGATCTGGGCAGTGGGGCGGGTCAGTGCGTCGGCGATATTCGATGCTCCTTTTTTGTATGTGACCGTATAGTGAAAATTCGACTCGAGGAAATCGAGCCATCGAATCTGTCGTGGGTTGAGGTGGGGCTGTGCGCGGAGGTACTGTAGAGATCGGTGGTCTGTCCGTACTATCACGTCTGCGCCAGTCAAGTAGCAGCGCCAAACTTTGAATGCATGCACGATCGCGAGCATTTCGCGGTCGTGTATCGGATAATTTCGCTCAGGCGGATGTAGTTTTCGTGATTCGTAGGCGATGGGTTGGAGGCCGTTGCCGAAGTCCTGTAACAGTACAGCTCCGATGGCGATGTCACTTGCGTCGGTAACCACTTCGAAAGGGCGGTGGGGATCAGCGATGCGTAGGACGGGTGGTGAGCAGAGAACGTTTTTTAGGGCAGAGAAGGCAGCATGCTCTTTCTCCCCCCACGTAAAAGCGACCCCCTTACGCAGTAAATCAGTTAGTGGGGCGGTTAAACGTGCCATGTCGGGCACGAACCGTCGAACGTAATTAACAAACCCTAAAAAACTCTGCAGTTCCGTGATGTTCGTCGGGGGGCGCCACGCTTTTACCGTGTCCAACTTCTTTGGGTCAATCTCAACCCCAGCCTCGGAAATGACATGACCTAAAAACTCTAGCCTATCCCTAAAAAACTCGCACTTGGAGCCCTTGGTGAGCAGCCGATGTTCCTCCAAAACCTTAAAAACTGCTTCAAGATCTGCTAAGTGTTGCTGCTTATCCCGACTGTAAACGAGGATATCGTCTAGGTAAACGATGACGCATTTATCTAAAAGTGGCCTAAATGCCTCGTTCATGGTCATCTGAAAAGTCGCAGGCGCGTTCGTCAACCCGAAGGGCATTACTGTATACTCGAATGACCCGTACCGAGTCCTAAATGCTGTCTTTGCGCAGTCCGATGGTTCGACGCGAATCTGATGGTAACCTCCTCGTAAATCTATTTTCGAAAAGACACGTGCTGTTCGCAGTTGGTCAATCAGTTCGTCGGCGCGGGGGATGGGGTATCGCGATTTGACTGTTACTCGGTTAAGCGCTCGGTAGTCGATGCACATGCGAAAACCTCCGTCTTTTTTCGGTGTGAACAGTATGGGTGCGGCGAACGGTGACGAGCTCGGTCGAATAAACTGCTTCTCTAACAGGTAATCTAACTGCTTCCTTAACTCGTCGAGCTCGGGCTGTGTCAGTCGAAATTGCCGCTGTACTGTTGGCTGTGCCCCCGGTTCTAGCTCGATCCTATGGTCGTGCGCTCGCTGAGGTGGCAGTCCCTGTGGTAAATCATCCGGAAATATCCCCGGGAACCGTTTCAGTAGTGCTTGTAATTCGGTCGGTACGGCGGCTAGCAGTTTCTGTAAATCGTTCTGCTGCTCGTCTTTTTCTACCACTGCGATATCCACTGCGTACACGTCAGCTCCAGCAGCGACAGCTCGTTTCATCGCGATGGCGTTGACCTGGACTGTCGAAGATTCGGGTGGCCGCCAGCGAGGTAGGACGACCCAGTTACCGCTACTTCGCACTGTGCAGCTCCCCGTCGTCCAGTCGATCCGTGGGTTGTACCGTCGCAGCCAATCACGTCCCAGTAAAATGTCGTGCCCATCCAGCGTCGTTGCGAGCATTTCCTGTGTAAACCCGAAGTTTCCCCCGCAGCGGACTTTTACTCGCTCCACCTTTTCTCGTATGGCCAATGGCGTGCCGTCGACTAAGCGTGCATCTATCTCAGGTAAACATCGGTTAAGTGTTAACTGTAATTTCCGTGCGGTTGCAGTATTAACTAAGCTGTGACTTGCTCCTCCGTCAATGAAGATTTTCACTGCTGCTCCCTGTATTTTCCCGTAGATCAGTACCGGGCAATCCGTCGCTGTACCCTCCTTATTCATCCGAGCCCGATCGATGGCGTGAATCGGTACTGTGACTCGGTGAGGGTCGGTGTGGTTGGGCGAGCAGGCAGTCTCGTCAGTAGTTGGCCCAACTTCTACTGACTGCTGGCGTTTCCCTGCCTCTGAGACTCCTTCCCCTGCTCTGCTCCTCGACGCCTCAGCTCCTCTGGACATTCGCTCTTGCGATGGCCCGGCCGGTTGCAAGCAAAGCAGCGCCCTCTAAATGGCGTGGCAGCTGCATTCGTTGCGACGGCATGTACAGTGGCGTGCTCGATCGGTCCCCGAGGGCGATGTCCGAAATAGGACCCCGGTCTCGGTCGGCGTAGGATATCGATTTTCTCGGCGAGCGCGAGGATTTCGTTGAAATTCGATAGCCCGCGTAGCATT